TCATCGATAAAAGTAGATAAATATTCTCACAGTAAACTGTCCCGTATTTCCTGCTTATTGGAAAGACTGATAAAATATTTTCGTAATAGCTATACGAGCAGGGTTTCTGGTAAGTATTCAGTACGTTTCTAACGACTGTTAATATGTGTATGTATGTTTCTAACGTCTGTTAATATGCGTGTATGTTCTTATAGATATAAATAAGATAAAATTTTCTCCGTATTCAAGGATATTCACGTGTCATGAGAGGTCTAGGAGAAACGAGAGAAGGAAATATTCCTCATCAGTTTGATGGAATTAATATGTAACCAGCTTCTAACATGAACTGAACTGTGTGGAACTATATATCTAATATTGATCAAATATTAAATTATTTAGGCACTTGGCACAAATCGAAGAAAATATGATATAAATTTGGAACAATTTCTCAGTATTTATTTAGTTACTTGGAATATTTGTTTCCGAGGAAAAATCATTCCAATGTTTTTCTGATTATTTATTTTAAGATTTGGAAAAATAACGTCTTGTATTGCGTGAATATAATATGATCCGATTCATACGCAATTGTTGTTTTGTTCGTAAGGACGCATTTCGCATATATGTGTGTATTTTATATGTTGAACATAGCTAGGTCATTGATGGAGGTCAAATTCGATATCGGAATGAGCTAAAACTTTATGTGTACGCACCACTATCTTGTCCGAGCGATCGATTTCTCTGTAAGTCTGTACAGGACGCTGTTTAATCTGCCGATTTCGCGATGTACCGTCGTGATATCGCGAGCGAGTTCTCGAAAAGCGCGATTGCATCCGCAAATATGCATAGTTGTGTGACGACGTGACGGGAATCGAAAATTTACATCAAGTAATTGGACTGCATACTGACGACATCTGACGAGTATTTCAAGTACTCGAACAAAACGATACCGAGAGACAATGTGATGATAATCGATTGCGCGCTTTGTCATAACATTTTTCACTTTTCATTTGTGTTGTACATTTTATCATGTTTTTCAATCTTATTTTTGTTTTATACTCAGTTATTTAAAATATATGAATTTTAAAAAGCCTAATTTGCCTAGTTATCGCACGTAAATAAAAAATATTAAATTTACATTAGATATATATATATTGCTATTTAATTCAGATACAATTTGAATCGAATATTTTCTAAAATTCATAAGATGTGCCGATTTACTCTTATTCGCAGTTTTTTCAAGAATGATAGAAAACAAGATTACTATCATACGTCCTACATGTATAATATAAGAAGGATTTGATAATCGCATGCTCGAAATGAATCAAACGTACTCACCGTTTCGAATTGTCGAATCATTACCTGTCGGTTGTTCTATTACTTAGGCTGTCGACTCCATTAGAAAAATTCTCCCAATTATGATACTCTACAATCAACGAAATAAAATAATGTCCGCCACACTCCCGATTACTTGCGTCAAATTTCAGAGCGAAAAAAAGAAATAAGATTAGACTAACTGGTGTAACTGTTGCAAGAGCTAATT